TTCTTAGACTCCCAAGTAAGATCCATATTGATTTTGTCGACTTTGTGATAAATCAATTAATATTTGTTCGTAGCACAATATGTATCTTGCTTAATTTCGCTTCCCTCATTATAGTAAAAGAGAAAGAAGCGAGCAGGACAGTCCAATAAAGCCACGTAATCATAGTAGGCATTGATTTTCGTCCTTTTTAGAGTATTTTTTTATGGATGTATCGTGTAGAAAATCTGATAAAATTAAAAAAATCTCATGAAGAAAATAGAGAGTTTCGAAAAGCGACTCTGTAAAAAAAATGAAGCTACCCTAGTAGCGACGATCGTTGAAAGATTTTTACCGGAGTTCAATAAAGGAGATAGTAGGTATCCGAAAGTTTTGTGTATTGTACTCAGCAGCTGGTGAAGGTGGTAATTACCACTAAATCATCCTGAGGGGCGGAAAATTTGCTTGGGTTTTTAAAAATAAATAGTTTGATTCAACGGTGAGATCGAAAATAAATTATGGAAACCATGACCATTTTTTTTTTTAATCGTTTAACTGATAATGCCGATAATACAGGAATGAAACTCACGTGAGGTTAGTTACTCTTACCCAGTGAGTTTAGGTAGCCCTCACCTTGAATTACTACAGAGTTGCTACTTCATTGCAGTTCCCATATTTTGTCCATGGAAATTTTCAGGAAGGTTCAGCGACCTTCTAGAAAATTCTGCGAACTATAGGGAACTGTAGTGAATTTTAGGAAAGTACTGCAAACTTTAAATAATTTCCTCCAATTAAGCAGAGAAATCCAACAACTTTCAGATAAGTTCATTGAACTTCAGGGAAGTTCTACAAACTTCAGGAAATTTATTAAAACTTTAAGGATGTGCTTCGATCTTTAGAGAAGCTCTATAAACTTCAGGAAAATTCTGCCGAGTTTAGAAACGTTTTGTGAGCTTCTGGGGAGTTCAATGTCGTTCTTGTAAGTTCTACGAACGCTGTGAGTGAACGCTCACGAGTCATAAATCACTGATTGTGACGCTCTGAAAGCGAAATTGACAGGTTTTATGTGTCAAATACATACCTTCCAACCTCTTCTTGTTTCTGACAAGTACACACTTTCATAATTGCATCCAATGATTCCATAATTCCGAAAAACATTTTTTATAGCGAAGTGAGTGGAAGTAACCCTGCTGTGAACTTTAAGAAATATCTGAGAATTTCAGGAAAAAAAAAGCCAAACTTAGAGACGGTCAAAGAACATCAAGAAAGTTCGAAGAATTTCATCGAAGTTCAAGGAAATCTAGGGAAAACAGGACTTTGAATTTGAATATAACTTCTATAAGCTGTTTCATCGGGTCGTTGGTTGAACAACTCCCACTCTATGTCTTACAAAACAGGTAGGTATAGTAGAAATAATTTCTTGTGATATCTCTTTCTCTTTTACGTTTCCCTTATGAAATGTGATCGAGGGCATGAGCAGGGTAAAAATGAGAGTTCGCCACCTGAAAAAATATCGTGAATACGACTCACGCATGTTACATTGCCGTTTACTGGTATAGAAAAGGGAGCAGTTTATGAAAATTGAGGTTCACAAATATCCAGAAGAAAGATGTTAACGAGAAATTCAAACCAAACTCGACAGTCAAAGATGTGTGGGTTTGTAGATAGATATTTGTTAGAAAAAAAAACGCCGTGGTAAAAAAAGAAATTCATAAAAATTTGCAAATTATGTCTGACGCTGCTTTCTCCTAGGAAGCGTCATGCATGTAGTGAAAACCAACTTGTTGCCAAAAGCAGGCAAAAAACTAGCCGAGGTTATTTTTGTAAAAGTCGCAGGAAGACCAATGGGTTTAAATTTGAAACAGTAGGGAAAAAAATCTAAGACTTCTCACGAAGATTTACTCAGCTTTAAGAAAGATCTTAATCTGAGTGCTAATTATCTTTATAACTTTATAAGTTATCTTTATAACTTTATATTTTACAAAACTTTACACTATACTTTTGTTATATTACAGACGCTAAAAAATGGCTAAACGTATGAGATATACCGGCTGTCAAACAATCCAGCCTTGCCTCAAATCAGCTATGAGGAAACACAATTGGGTGGCTGCCGACTCGGCATACGCAATTTGGATTCGCTGGTCGCCATTGTAGGTGCTTGATAAATGCCATTACCTGCAAAGGATGAAATTTTGATCATCAGCTAACGAAAAACAACACATCGCTGATTTTTTGATATGTTGTGTAAAAAAGCCTAATCTTTTAAGGAAAAATATAAAAACATATTGAAATCTCTATCTACAAACCATGAAAACTATAATAAACGAATACAATCAATGTTTTTCAATATAAAATCTCAGTTTTTTAATGACATTAATTACACGAATTTTTAATTACCTTTCATTTAATATTTTGATCTTTGATATCAGCCCAATGGTTTAAACGTTATAATTAAAAAAAAGAGTCATTTAAAAAATAAAATAAAAAATAAACGATTTTTTGGACTACTCTAACGTTGAAATGGTCACCCTGATGACACAAAATAAAATAAAAATATTTTACGATAAGGAATAATATTAAAATTTTTACCAAATTCTGCGAACCTCTATATCATTTACAATGGAATGGCTGAATAATAGTAAATTTAGAGACAATTGTTTAATTATTTTATTAATTTAAACATCATGAGATCATGACAAAGCTACGATATCTTACGGTACCGGAAAGGGAGTCTTACTTTACCAGTATTTTGACTTTAGTCCCATTTTGAATCATTTTCAGCTAAATTTGTTTCGATCCGTAACAGTTTTGTGTCGTCTTTGTAAACGACTAAGTATACTTCAAAACTCTTTTTCTCTAAAAAGCCAAGGTGAAATATTTTAAAACCATCACAGATTTGATTGCTAGGATCAATGCTAACATCTTGTGAAGAAAAATATGAGGTACATGAATGTTGCAAAAAAGTGCCTTCAGACATAGCGTGGCACCGATCAATACTGTGTGCGTATTGATTGAGATTGAGATTTGCATCTTTATATGCAAAGTGGCTGATTTCGTTTAGAAAGTTTCATTGAAATCTGAGAGGGTGCTGCCAGCTCCGAATACGATTTGGCGCGATATGCGTCTTTAAAAAAACTTTTTTTTTCAAGCGAAATTAATTTTTTTTAGCTGTATCTTGACAACTATACTACTGAGATTTTTTATTGACTTCATTTTTGGATCCAGCGCACGATTTTACATAAGAACCATAGGTCCAACATAGAAGCTTTTTACTTTTATTTGTAAACTAGTATAATCGTTTATTTGAATGATGAAACTGTAAGCTGGTAATCGCACGGTGTCCACGGTGTCTGGTATCATAAAACGGTTCGAAGAACGTCTGACTGTTGATCGGAAGCGAAAAAAAAAAACCGTCAGATCAACGAGAACGATCACAAACGCGTGGTTGGGGCCTTTAACCGGAAACCGGACAGATCGATATGTGACTAAAAAGTTGCATGTGAGCAAGACTTTCGTGTAGAATACCAAAATTCCAAACCGTGATGAGAAACAGAATACGGTCGCAAGAAGCCGTGCCTGGAACTTGTACAACTAGAAGTTAACGAAACCACACTGCTGCGTAATGGATGACGAGACATATGTGAAGACGGACTTCAATCAGATTCCAGGAAACTTGTATGGAACTGTCAAGGATAAGTGTGATGTTCCCGAGAACCTCCGGACATAGAAGATGTCGAAGTTCACCAAGAAGTTCTTAATCTTGCAAGCGATTTGTACTCGCGGAAAGCGGAGTACACCTTTCGTTACCGCAAGCACCATGAATGGACAGGTGTATTTGGAAGAGTGTCTCCAAAAGCGGCTTCTCCCTCTCCTGAAGGCTCACGACGGTTCGACGATCTTCTGGCCGGATTTGGCATCATGCCACTACACGAAGGACGGGCTAGAGTGGTATAAGGGGAATGATGTCGATTTCGTGCCGAAAGATCTGAACCCCCCAAACACTCCGGAACTGCGCCCAATAGAAAAATACTGGGTCATTATGAAGGAGCACCTTCTAAAACGACCTGAAGTGGTGAAGAACGTAGAAGAAATGAAGAAAGCATGGGTATGCAAAAAACTGTCAATTCTGAGGGTAAGGCCAAGGTGATGCATTCGGATATAAAGGCGAAATAAATTAAATGAACGATACCAAAACTAACTTTAATTGTTTCTATTTACTCCCTTTAAATTTGGTGATATTAGGATAAAAACTTCAATTTTGAGAATGAATTCTATGTGTGCGGAGTTTAAACGGTACACCCTTTATCTCAGAATTGAGTGTGTCCAATTCTTAATGGATCAAGTCTACCCTAATTGGGTTTTCAACTCAAATAATACTAAATAAAAGATCAAATGAAACAGCACCAATTCTATGATCATAATTGATTCTACTTTTTCATTGATTTGTGCAATCAATTTTGGTTGAGTTTTGGTTGAAAATTCCAAAAATTGAAAATTTTGTTGAAATTTGTGGAAACTTACCTGATAAAAAATATTCTTTGTATCGAGAAAACAGAGGATGATCAAGTGTGCTAGCTTCACCCCTGCTTACATCAGAGCGACATACCTGTCAAACCGTGCATCAGCTGGAAGAGCTGCCTCGCTTTTTTCGATGCCGTTGATGATGCATCTCTACCCTTCCATGTATTGCCATGCCATATCCCTCCCATCTGCCCCATATCACCTTGTGAATATTGTAAACGTTATGAATACCTCGTGAGTAGAACATCATCCCGTCCGTCCCGTCGCGATGTCTGCATAGTCGTCTGTAGCCCCTCTAGTCTCAATGGATAGATATAGATATATGGCTACATATGTCACCCGGAGTATTGACATATATTTAGGCCTCCAAGGTATGTAGGTAGGTGTCCCATGCCGTACCGTGCAGTACCTACCTATGATGAATAAGAGGCGGCAAAAGCAAGACGCGAGCATATCGATAGCAGCTCGGCGAAAAAACCGTTCAAAGTGGCCACTGCAATTAGTCGCCAAACGTTGCTCGCCGCGAACAGTTCTCACCAGAGTCGTTGTGTTGTGTTTTCATTTGCAAATCTTCGTGTCACTTCTGAATAGGTGCAAATATTATTTCGGACACGGTTTGGTTCCAGCTCTTACTGGCCGTGGCGGTTCCGATCGGAGGAAAATACAAAAAGGTGATTGACATCGATGGTGTGCTTTGGTTCGGGTTTTTGAGAGCTCAGTGAAGTAGAGGTTTACGTTTGAGTGGATTTCAACGTGCAGTCCAGGCGAAGTGTGACATCAACATTCTACACTGATAACGGATACCACCAGTCGCTTTATCACGATAACAATAACGGTATCAACAACAACAGCAATAGCAGTAACAGAGTTGTGCCAATTGATAAAGTGACCACTGTTTGTTGTTCAAAAGTGGGAACCAGATATCAGTGAGCCAAAAGGTGTGTGAATAAACATTTACCGGTAAGATGTTTTTTTTTATCTGTTTGCAGTGCGATGATTTTTTTTAAGTTTACAGCACGATTGTAATTTGTCTTTATGGATCTGAGACCGTTATTGGGATGTATGGTAGAATTTTATTCAGCCTTTTTCAAAGTATTGGTTGTGATTTTTTTAAGGCTCCCGCATCCTAGTTAGAAAATGGCGCTAATTGTAGAAGATAGCGGTCTCAATCTTCGGAAATTGAATTCGGTTTTGATGGAAATTTCCTAGTTTGTTAGAGCTTAAGTTTGCCGTTATAATCAACGTATTCGTTAACAAACGTTAGCGTTGCTATTGAAAACATTGCCTAACCCACAGCTGCAATTTAAAGTTATGATTTATTGAAACTGAATTTATAGCAGTGGTTTAATATTTCAGCTGAAGTTTGTCTACGTTCGTCGATCTTCTCTCGTTAATTGCTTCAAGAAAGTTGATGCTGTCATGTCAAACGAGCTATTGGGTGTTAATTAGAGTAATTGGGACACTAATAATGCGGAGGAATATCTTTTGATTACATTCAAATTATCACATTTTCCGATGATGGTTCGTGACTTGATCGATGATGAGATTTTAATTCGTTCAGTTTGAGAGGCATGGATGCTAAGATTGTTCCTCACCCTCACCGAGATTTTGGTTTTTCAACATTACAAATTTGTAAAACACGATTTAATCAATTGTTTTATTTTTTTGTAAGGTGTAGGGCTAACCATTTTTTTGGAACATTATTTGAGGAATCATTTGATGACAACCTTCGTAAAAGATACATTTTGACTCAAAATTGGTGATTAGAGGGTTTCAAAATAGGTCAATCCTGGGATTTCAAACGCTACCCTCTGGAATGGTAGTCTAGGGGGTTAGAAACATCCTACCAAAATTCGAAATCATTTGCTTCACGGAACCCCTGACTCAAAGGGCTTGAAGTCTGTATGAGGAAAATCGACAAAATATATGGGGGAACGAGTCACCTTCACATTCGCGGCACTAGGTGGCGCTGTAGTTGGTCGATTTTCTTTGAGTACAAAAGGTAGAACCTTTGGAGTATTGAGAACAGAATGGCTGAAGTTATTAACGTTCTAATGAACAGCACCTGTCTTTCTTCTGGGGAGGGCCAAACGCGCTTTGTGCAAAACAAACCTACAACCTGGTTCTAAATACAGAGTGTCCACCAGAAGGCCATACGGTGACCCGGCAACAGGCTTGCACGAGGAACATACCCGGTCGCCTTCTCAATAATGGAGCTCCTATTGTCAACATGGACACGTTTCTAGTACTTCAGGCTCGTAGTATGGTCTTGAATCTAGCACTGCCTACACTAAACCTGCGGCCCCCCGTTGCGAATCCACCATCAGATCAAGCGGTATTTCTTAAGGTATTTCTTAAGTATTTTTAAAGAATTTTTCAATATTTACAGGTATTTATAGATAAGTTGAGAGAAAAACAAAGTTTAGAGTGGGATACCCTACATAGTATATAGTGCGTCTAAATGAAGTTTATTTTATTGTTACGAAAAACATACGACACCTGTAAAATTGTAAGGTTAGAACCGCTTATCATAAGATTTGATTTATGAAAATCAGCTGTTCCAAATGCGGGGAGAAGCATGGGGATGACACCTGTGCAGCTACCGCACCAAAATGCGTGTACTGCAAAGAATCTCCTCCTCATGGTCTCTCGTCGTGCCCGGTGTACAAACAACGCGGGGAGAAACTACAACGTTCACTTAAGGAACGTTCCCGGCAGTCTTTTGCAGAAATGCTTAAGACAGCCACGCCATCGACCAACGAAAAAAAATCCCTTTTTTCTCTTGTCAGATGACGAGACTGACTGTGACTTGGCTGAGGAGGGAACTTCTTTCAGTTTTCCGGAAGGTTCTGCACGGAAACGAAAGCGCATCCGTTCGCGGAAAGTTGCAAATCAAGAACCCCAAATCAGCTTGCCCAAATCAAGGAGTGGTGGAAAAAAGAAGACTTCTACTCCTCCTGGATTCCGCAGAACTGACTACACCCAGGATTTTCCACCTCTCCCGGGGACATCAAAAACCCCCGATGCCCCAATTTTCAGAAAAGAAGCCCCTTCTTCATCTGGGTTGTTCTCATTTGATAACATTGTGAACGGTATCCTCAAGTATCTCGATATTTCTGATCCTCTGAAAAGCATTGTTCTGGTAATGCTTCCTACTGTGAAGACACTCTTGAAACAATTGACATTGAAATGGCCCCTCCTTGCAGCAATCATTTCCTTCGATGGATAATTTACCAAACGAGGTCGGGGATTTGATCACTGTTCTACAGTGGAATTGTCGTAGTCTTATTCCTAAATTAGAATCGTTTAAGTTTTTAGTTCACAATAATGATTTTGATGCATTTGCTCATTGTGAAACTTGGCTCTCTTCAGATATCGATCTTCCTTTTTATGATTTCAACATTATTCGACCGGATCGTGAGGATTCGCGTGGAGGAGGGGCACTTTTGGGGATCAAAAAGTGCCATTCCTTCTATAGAGTGAATCTCCCACAATTTCCAGGTATTGATATATGACCTCTGAGACAACTTCAATATGTCAATTCTTAATAATGGAGAAGTAACACGTTTGGCTGATCCATCCTCCAATGGATATATTATTAGACCTCACACTTTGCTCTAACTCATTATTGTTGGATTGCACGTGGAATGTGATCCAGGATCCCCACGGTAGTGATCACTTGCCGATCAAAAATTTCGATTGCCAGTGGGTTCAATCCGTCGGAATCCGATAACATCGCGTACGACCTCACTCGTAATATCGATTGGACAACGTTCAAGACCGCGATAGATCAAGCCGTGTCGTCGGTAGAAGGGCTTCCACCGTTGGAGGAATATAACTTCCTCTTCAATCTGATCTTGAACAGCGCGCTTCGAGCTCAAACTCGGCCGGTTCCTGGAACGTCTCCTTCCCCTTGGTGGGACCAGCACTGCACTGAGGTTTATCGACAATTTAAGGTTTCGGAACATCCATGGAACAGATGATGATTCTGTCCCATAGCGGAAATCACACGAAACACGCGACACAGAGAAGGAGAAGCCAAGACTACCAAGACGAATCATAAAGTTTCTAAACCACATGTATAAACAACCATGTTTTAACATAACTATTAAGAATATCTGATGAAATGAATGAGAATATAGATTCATAATCAAATAACGACGCGAATAAGCTTTTCCGGAAACGTGGAACACCCGTGCATTTCGAAGCGTACTCGGCTCTTGAACGCAAACTCAAGAGCCTCATAAAAGCTAAGAAACGCGGATACTGGCGGCAATTCGTGGACGGATTATCGCGCGAAACGTCGATGAATACGCTTTGGAACGCGGCGCGAAGGATGCGTAACCGGTCTTCGAACAACGAGAGCGATGAGTACTCAGATCGTTGGATTCTCAAGTTCGCGCGAAAAATATGTCCTGATTCCGTGCCGGCACAGATGATTCCTCGCGAAACGACGAATTCGGGAGACGAGATCAGCCAGCCTTTTTCAATGCTGGAACTCTCACTCGCGCTTCTTTCGTGTGGCAATTCGGCTCTGGGTTCTGATAGAAGCAAATTCAACTTGTTGAAGAACCTCCCAGACGTCGCTAAAAGGTGCATGTTGAACTTGTTTTTTTTTTTTTATTGGGTATCAAGCTGGAGCTGCGTGACAGCTTAATTTCAAGACTTGACCCATTTGAATAAATTTTGCTTCTATCTTTGACAATACAGCAGAAGGACTAGCATATGTTGGCCGCTTGAACACTGGATTCCGTATGTATTGTTTCAAGATAGTTATAGAAAAAATGCTGTGACGTGTGCGCGTAGATACATCCGCGTAGTAAACCGATTGAATAAGTAAATCCGTTTCGAACGAAATAACTAAATTATGTAAGTTACGAAAACCGCGCGAATTCCGAAAGCCGTGCGAGACAACCGAAGCGAGAAAAAAGGCTTATTATCATTTAAAGAGTGCCACCAAAATAAATGTGATGGCCTATGTTAGCAAGTTAATTAATTTTGGATTCCTCCCTAGATATTCTACTTACTTACTGCTGAGCTTTGTATCAAATTAGTTAATTTAAAGAACGTATCAATCATTTCAAGATTTCGCGACCGCACCGAACAAATTCTATGAGCTCGAAAGCGTTTGACAAACTCTACCGAATTGCGTATCACTTCTGCGTAAGCTCCGTAGACGTAGGCGCGTTGAATCCGACAGTCGGCAAAGGTTTAACCTGTACCAACACCGCTTAAGGAACGACCTCGAGTCAGTGAAACCGTTTATAGCCAAACATCTAAATTACGTATGATACGAAAATCGCGCAATTTGTGAACGCCACGCGAAACAACCGTAGAGAAAAAAAACAACTTATTATCACTTAAAGAGTGCCACCAAAATAAATGTGATAGCCTATGTTGGCAAGTTGATTAATTTTGGTTTCCTCCCTAAATATTCAACTTATTTTACTGTTGAGCTTTGTTTCAATTTAGTTATTTTACCGCACGTATCAATCATTTCAAGATTTCGCGACCGTACCGAACAAATTCTATACTACAGAAGCTCAAAAAAAAAAAACTTTTGGTGAGCTCTACTGCATTGTGAATCACTTCTGCGTAAGCTCCGTAGACGTGCGCGTTGATTCCGACAGCCGCGAAAAGTTAAACATGCATCAATACCACATAAGGAAAGATCGATTTTACGTATGGTTTAGTTCATAGATTAACATTGACTCCTGTTTACAAATGTAAGTACTTGAACACTAAGAAATAAGTTAACTCAAATGCTTTAACCGCATATATAAGAGATTTCGCGTATTGAGAGAATTATATAGTAATCGAGTACAACAAACTCAGAAGAATACAATACCTCCAAAAGTTTAAAAGCTATTAATTGTCACATACCTCTACTTTTACTTACTTAAACTATTCCTCTCCTTGTTAATCTGCTTAATAGTATTGGTCTGCCTGCGTTTTCTTGT